TGATACCAGTGACTTGGTTGTGGGATGCATGCACAGCAAAAAATAAATTTTAATATTGCATCCAAGAGTTGTCAGTGTATGTAGTCTACTTAGCTTGACGAAATAAATAAATAAATAAATAAATAAATAAATAAATAAATAAATAAATAAATAAATAAATGAATAGAATGCACTTCAATCATGTAGAAAATTTCATGTAATTTTTATGGCCACAAAAATAAACAAATGCAGTAAAAGCAGCGTAATGTCAGTTCATGTACTGTATTAATAAAAATTTTGTCCTTTTCAGCAACTAATATAACATCATATTTTCGCCATGATTGAAGTGCATTCCCTTTGAAGTGATATTAAAATATTTTTTTTTGCTGTGTGGGACACTAGAGATTAAAAAAAAGTGGGAATGCCCTCAACATAACTGGAACTGGAATTTAAATTGTTGCTGCTCAAATATTAAGAGGTAATCAAACCTAATGAAGGAAGAATTCTTGTTACTGAAATCGGTTTTAAGCCAATAGGACATAGTGTACGTTATGTATGAACTCTTCAACTGTAACTAGCAGTCCGTGGTATGTCTTGAAGTAGACTCTTTAAATGAAGCTTCAAATTAAATTCCGCTGTTTCATTAGAGAATCTGGTTTAGTTATGTTCCAGTTCCCTTTATGTTAGGTGAGTTCCAGTTCCAGGTATGCTAGTTGAGACCATTAACATTTGTTAGAAAACCTCTAGTACTACCTGCATTCCACAACCAAGTCGCTGGTATCACATGTTGTTCAGAATTCAATGTATACAATTCCCTAAATTAGATTTATTACATATTACCGAATATAAACGTTATTTAAAAACTTGTTTCATAAAATGTAGTTGGCACTTTAATGAACCGGAAGTCACTATTTTTGATTCCAAAATGGTGCCAATAATCGATTTCCGGCCTGTACACGTTGTTCCCGTTCCGAATATATCTTGTTGTAGGGTATTCGAAATTTCATCACAAACCGGAAGTCACCATCTTCGATTCTAAAATGACATCAAACATCGATTTACGGCCTCTACAAGTCGATCTCGTACCTACATTGTAAGGTATTTGATAGTTTTTCACAAACTGGAATTCACCATCTTGATTTCAAAATGGTGTTGTTAATTGATTTCCATCCTCTACGACGTTTCCGTTTCGAAAAGAACCATATTGTAGGGTATTCGTCAGTTTTTCACAAACCAGAAGCCAAGATGGTGATTCCAAAATTACGTCAATCATCGTTCTTGTTCCGAAAATATCCATATTGAAGGATATTTGGCATTATTTACCACTTTTTCTATAAAGGGAAGCCACCATCTTGGATTTAAAAATGGCGTCAGACATTGATTTCCGGTATTTATACGTTATCCTGATTCCAAAAATACCCATATTGAAGGATATTTGGCATTATTTCCCAGTTTTAATCTAACCAGAAGCCGCCATCTTGGATTTCAAAATGGCGTCAGACATTGATTTCCGGTCTCAAGACGTCATCATGATTCCAAAAATAGACATATTGGAGGATATTTGGCTTTATATCCCAGCTTTCCTACAATCGGAAGCCGCCATCTTGGATTTCAAAATGGCGTCAGACATTGATTTCCGGTATTTATACGTCATCCTGATTTCAAAAATACCCATAGTGAAGGATATTTGGCTTTATATCCCAGTTTTTCTACAACCGGAAGCCGCCATCTTGGATATCAAAATGGCGTCAGACATTGATTTCTGGTATATATAAGTCATTCTGATTCCAAAAATACCCATATTGAATGATATTTGGCATTATTTCCCAGTTTTAATATAACCGGAAACCACCATCTTGGATTTCAAAATGGCGGCAGACATTGATTTTCGGTCTCAAGACGTCACCCTGATTCCGGAAATACCCATTTTGAAAGGTATTTGACAGGTGTTTAAAGGTGTTTAAATTTTTTTCTATAACCGGAAGCCGCTATCTTGGATTTCAAGGTGGCATTGGTTGACGATTTCCGATCTCCACGTCACACCGATTCTGGAAATACCCACATTGCGTAATACATCATTTGAATTCACAGTTTTTCTGTATTCAAAACCGCTATTTCGACTTGACACTGCATAATATTATTCATCAAATACAATTTCTGTTTAGTTATCTGCCATCACTGGCAATTTTGAATAATGCGCACCACGCACATAAACACACAACAGTACCGGATCGGTTCTTGAATTCAAAACATCATCCTTGTGAACACAGAACACCGGTACTGGAAAATCAGAACCGCACCGTGTGCAGCGAACTGGTGAACACGGTGCGGTGTTACTTGCAGCTACCAAACCGAACCGACAGCAGCACCATACACTCGGTACAACAGATCAGTACATTGGTTATGCTTTAGAAAACCGTACCGGTGCTGTACCGGTGTTTTGCCCATCACTGCTGGATACCTGGCCACTTCGGCATCCAGGGTAACGTTGAAGCCTCTTCTGGTCGACTAATGAACAAACTGACAAGCAAAGTTCCAGGTCCAGACTTAATAAATTGGCTGTTAAAAATTACATGGGAGAACTGGAGCAAGGACTGGTTAGGCAGAAGAGATCTTTTTATCCATAAGATAAAAGGAGAGACGCACCGATGGGACCTACCTGACCACCGTTCTCAAGTGGTGGTGTCTAGGCTGAGGTGAGGACACACTCGAATGTCGCACAACATTGCTGGGAATGGCGAATTCCATCGACGTTGCCCAATATGCCAGATCCACCAATCGGTGGAGCACATGATATGCCACTGCCCACAATACCAAGGAGCCAGAGACCTATAATGCCCTCAGCAAGGACCCCAGTCGTTCCGCGTAAAAAGACAGCATTACTTAAGTTTTCTACTTTAAGAAACTCCTCTCAGGAGCCCTCAATCCCTTTTTAGAAGTGTCCCCTATGGACACTCCTCAATTTTTCAACTTTGTGACTTGGGGAACCCCCTTCAGAGGTTCCTGGAGACGAACCAGCGTTCGGCTGAAAGTCTTCTTAATAAAGATAACTAACTAACTATCTAACTATCTACCTATCGAACTGTCAAACCGTCTACCTATCGAGCATAGTAGACAAACTGACTCTGTTGCGTGGGAAATATTGTTATCGAAACTAGAGGAAACTTTCATAACCCAGGTGAAGTCATCCGAGCTGTAAACAAAAACAAAGATTGCCAAAATGAAAAAAAGCCCATTGATCTACATCAGTGTTGCAAGCTTCACTCTGCGTAACTCTTCTATTATCAACTCTGAACAAACCATCAATTATAGAGTAACATTTGAAATGGGCCTATGTCCAACACGTAAATAAACCGGAAAATGAATTTTAAATTTTTCCGCCGCTATTCTATACATATTTAAGAAAATTGAAGTATTTTAAGCATTTATATTGTTCACAATAACAATAGTAACTGTATCTCTGCATACAGCATCCAAAATATGTGAAAAACCTTTCAAAAATATATGAAAAACGATAACAATTTAATTTAATAAATTAATAGGCCTTTTTGTGAATCTTTCAATGGATAGGCCCTTTTTGTTAAGCCATTGTGCTTGTCATCAGAAATGGTACGCCCTATGCTAAGCCTTTTCGCAATGTCAAATAAATTCAAAACAAATCATCGGCCCTGCCTCAAGCAGTAAGGCCTAGCTTTGGTTTAAAAATTTTCAATCATCGGCCCTTCTACGTCACTAGGCCTCTCAATAAAATGAAATAAATGAATTGTTGGCCGTTGTAGCGTGCGGGCCTATTAATGAATTGAAAAATTTCGTAGATCCGCCGTTTCGACAATCGAGTTATATTTAATGATTTTTCTTGATTATGCGGAACTTTCCTACATGATAAGTAGCTATTGAGCGGTGCTAATAAATGGTATCAAAACCCGATTTGTTTACGTTTTTGGACATAGACATGAAATGGTTCAAATGTTACTCGAGAATTCTTCCCTGTGTGCTAAAGATATATCGACAGTGAGCATGCATAAGGGCGAATACGCGATGATCGATTCTCTTCATCGATTTTCTCTTTGCATTGCAACAGCTAAGTGAAACAATATTCTAGAATTTGTTCAATGCAGAGTAGTAACAGGTTGTATTGGCTATCAAAAGCAACAACAAACGCACCGAGAAACGTTAAATCTAGCGAGTTATTAACCAAAGAGAAAATCGACGAAGAGAATCGATCATCGCGTATTCGCCCTTATGCATGCTCACTGTCGATATCTCTATAGAGAAAGACGATTAAACGTCAAAAGAGTCTATGGTAATCTGTCATGAAATAGTTAGAGATGTGAACCGATATGTTGGAGATGTGATCGATAAAAAACTATAGTATATTGAATAAAGATTTAAACGCGATTATATCGGATAAAACCGATTTTCATGGATATTAAACAGTTCAACAGTTTTTTTTAGAAAATTTGAATAAATGTGGGACTTTCGTCCCCCTCGGTCTGTACCATAAATAAGGAGAAACAGACAGCATGTTCACAGCCAGGCATGGAAAATCATTTGCATTCATTTCGTGCATTCATTTACATTCATTTGCCTCTAATTTTTTCTTCAACTAATAACAAAACCTACAAAAGCTCTATACATCATTTTGCGGAATGCTGCTGATGAAAAAAGTTAGAGGCAAATGAATGTAAATGAATGTATGAAATGAATTCAAATGATTTTCCATGCCTGTTCACAGCACAAATCTGAAAATTGACAGCACAATGTATTCAAACACTTGTTTATACTTTTTAATCCAGCAATTTTTGGATTAACGGGGTCTGGATTATCGAGTCGTCGGAATAGCGGATGTACGATACTACTAATATTAAAGGGCATTAATTCCATCGAACCAATCCGAAAACTGCTGAAATTCAAAAGGAAGACAATAGCTTTTAGCGTGAAACAACGATTCCAGCAAAAAAACCCGGCGATATTTACCAAACAAAACTTGAGTAACGATACTGTGTACCTTCTACTTTCAGCGTTTTTGCCGCTCTGAAGAAAATTTTTGCTCGGTAAATAGCTTCTTGATTGAGTTACTTGTTTTCTAAAAAGTTACTTCAACCCCCCTAGTTCGTACCGACATGAACGCCCATTCTCATTCTGCATTGATTCTTCCATCAGGCTATTGAAAGCCCCAAGCTACACCCCACAGCAGAATTACTTTCAATATGCATCAGTGTGATTTCGAACCAAACAACAACAACAACAACAACGAACAACAGTAAATCACTCCGTAATCAAACAAGAGCACATCTCTCTCAGTCAGTTCAACAGTCTTATGGAAAAGTGACCAAACAATCAAACTATTCAAACTCAGCATCGTTTCCCCCCGTTTCCTTCAGTTTAATTTTGCATTCCAATCAAGCTGCAGATTGTATAATAAACTTTCTTCTCTTACGCGTCCATTCTCCATCCGCAGATACCCATCCCGTTACGGACTGTACCTGCGGGACAAACCGAGCCAGGTTGTGCTGCCACAGGAGCTCGAGTACGAACCAGACACAAAGCCATTCTACTCACTGCATTAGGATCACTTACAAATACATTAAAAACCATGTAGAGAAGCTGTGTAAACAGTAGCAAACATAACCTATTCAACAAAAAAAAAACAACCAAAAAAAAATCGATTACTGCAACTGATATAAAACTTATATGAGAACCCAGAAACAGGAAATTTTCCGGTAGAGGACGAAAATGTTTATTATTTTTTTATTAAATAATTCTTAAGTGAAGAAACAAGTGTAACATATTACTTAAAAAAAAGGTAAAACAAACGGTGAAAAAGTTTTCTATTAACCAGTTTATTAAACGTTCAGAAGAAATAACTCAAAAACAGGAAAGAGAAAAAGAAAAGCGAACATGTAAAACAGTATAAACAAAAAGGGTATTAACGTGAAAAGAAAACTGTCGACGAAAAAAATCGACAAACCAAAAAAAACTATCGAACCTTTCGATTAATTTCAACACACACACACAAACAAACACACCCACACATACTCACATTGTATTAAACTGCAACGGAGAAACAAAAACAAAAAAGTCAACGATCCAAGCGAAACCGTTCCGAGCGAAGCGACGGCCAGGACAGATCCAACATCGCGGAGCAGAAGGCGCCCTTATCCGCGATGGCGGGGACTCACTCGGGAAATGTGACTGATGTCAAACAAACAAACAATTCACCACATGTCCTGCAGGTACGATTGAACTAAAAGCTCAAAGAGCCACGCACAATGGCATCCGGATCGGATCCGTTTCGGCAAATCTACGACAGAAATGGCTGTCACTTTGCCGGAACGTATCACATCCGGAAGCCATTGTGCGCGGTCGTTCGCACATCACTTGCATCTCTCGAGGTTCTGTGCACCGTCCAAGGTTGTTGATATAGCATCGAGTACCTACCGTCTTAGAGGGCAGATAATCGCCAACGAACGTCTCGTCGGCGTCGGACAAGTATTTGTTCATCGAATATTTAGTTGAAGCATGTCAGGAAAGGTATATATGTATATACATAAGCCGGAAGGAAAAACGGAATTGAATTAAAGTGCTCTTATTTCGAGTGTTGAAAATACGCGGTGACAGTTGATGTGCTTTCATTTAGAAACGGAAGAAAGTCATTTTTGTGGAATGTGTTTAATTTTCAGCTTTCATAAAATGGTCGGTCAAGTATTTGGGGGAAGTTTTTAGGTGCTTTGTAAACAGTGGTGTGTCTGTTTGTCCGAGATTGTTGAGATTGTCGCGAATTTAGTGTTTAGATTTAAATGGTATGGCTGGCCCGATTTACCCCGGCGGGACAGCTACGAGCAGGGTACTCCCCCCAAATACGTTCGGATATGGATGGATTGGTAGGAAAATAGAAAAAAAAAATGTTAATTCAAGATGTCTATTCTAACCTGACACATTTCCCTTCTTATCCTCACTGTCCTCGGTGTCACTCGGTGGCGGCGACGGTTGCGGTTTTGCTGGTTCACGTTGGTTCCAGACACGGTCTGTGCCGAGCGTCTCTTCTCCTTCACTTTGGCGGCCTAGCAACTGTCCTTTACTTTTAGCGGGGGAGGGGGGGGGGTGAGCGAGGCTCCTGTTTCGAAGCTCCCCATACCTAGCATGCAAATATTGTTTTTTTTTTTGGCGTAGGACTGCGTCTTTCGTTATTATACTGGGGGTCACATTAAGAAATCGAAAATGAGGCATGTAACGAAAAAAGGGGGTGTTTTCAAACACATCTTTCTCCAAAGCATTAATGTGAAATATGTCATACAATATGCCATTCGACGGCATAGTTAGTCAGCAATTTTGTGGCTTATAGTACAGATCACAAACGAAGTGACAGACAAAGCGGCTCGAAAACTTTGTGACCAGCGTTGCCAGGTCATTTTCAGATAAATCTGGACCAGTTGAAATAAATAATCTGGAAAAATCTGGAATGCTTCAAAAAAATCCTGTGTTTAGCATAATGCTATTGAAATCAAAGTGATGTGCCAATCTCTCGTAAAAATCGGTTAGTGTGATCATCTGGAATGCATTCAAAGTGATGAGTTGTTTGTTTAAATAAATTACATAAAGCAAATAACCTGGCAGCATTGTTAAAATTATCCAACAGTAAAAAAAAGTATTGACACAGTGTGCCCAAAACGTTCAAATATCCATTACGCAGCATTTCAAAAATTGAGTTAAATTGTTGGTAAAATACAGTAGAAAATATTTATGCTACCGACACCAGGGAGGCAGCCCCCACACCTGAACCCTACCTATCGTCCCATCAACTCATGAACCGCGGACCAACGGCTTTACTTCCCTTCCGAAGGAAGGCGTGATCAGAGATGGTATGCCTCAGAACATCCCGGCGGCACCAACTGGGATTGAACCCAGGCCTGCTGGGATGAGAGGTAATCAAGCTTACCACTAAACCACCGGCGCAGCTAACCCTAAGGTTGATCAGACTTACAATTGAATTCTTGACATCTTGCAACATTCAACACCCGGTAGACCAGTAGGCGATTTTATTTTAAAGTAAAATTAACCGGCTGAAGTGGGAATCAAAGCCTAACATCGTGCCCAAGCAACACGGCTTGTCATAAAGAAGTTGAAAATACTTTGTAATGACTAACGCAAAGAATCACTAATACTTTAATATACATCATTTAATACATTTATACAACCTAAAAAGCGCAAGACGCGGAGCTTATCCAACTAAATACTGGTCTTATAACATGTTTTGGAAACATCATAAAAACAAGCGACAAAAAAAAACAATAAAAAAAACTTGAGCATGGGATTCGATCACAGGTCCTTGGCGTGGTAGACTTGTTATTACCTAACTAGACCAACACCGCTTGATGAAAGGTTTGTTATAAGTATCTATCATGTTCTTGCCAATGGCATGAAAATTATTTTCTCGTTCAACACGCCTTCAATCCGTCATGAAGACGCTTTGTTAGTAGCAAAGCGTACATCTAATTGCCAGAATGTTATTTAAACGTATTTTCAACTCCTTATAAGACAACCTGCACATTTTCAGTTGTATAAATTTATGAGATGTCATAAAAAAGTATTTTCAACTTTCTTTATAACAAACCTCCGTATACCTCATAAGAAACTGTCAATCACTGCATTAAGAGACAGTCCGGCTAAATGGCACCGTCAATGTTTACGTAAATCTGGATTGATTTTGTATACGACATGTTTTATAGTGGTATTAAAACAGTAAGATGCACGTTCAAATAACATTTAAAAATAAAAGCAAAAGAAAACTTTTTTGGAAAATGTTGAATCAAAGAAGTATGAAGAAAACATCTTTAAACCTCATATATAACGTGGGATGTTTTCTGCACCTCTTATAATACATTTATACAACAAGCCGTTCTAATTATTTTTCAAAAAGATGTTTTATGTGTTACTTGGGTGTTACTCTCACACAGTTTACCTAAACTACGGGAAACTTTACTATTCGCATGACCATTACGAATTATTCTATGCCAAATGATAATTTTATTATATAACTAAAATACTAAAATATTAAACATATTTTTCCGGAGTCCCAGATCATGAATTTTTTTGTTAGTCAAAGGAGGATCCAATCAAAAGGAGGATCCCAATCTTGGCAAGTGGGCATTTAGCTTAATTATATAAAATATTGTAAAAACACTACCAAAAGGGCCAACGAATTCAAAAGCACAAACAGAAAACACTCAAATGTTGTAAAAAAGATTCGCCTCCTTCAGGAAGGCGATGAGGGCGTCTGCTGCCGGGGACTCGTCGCCAAGCAGACTTCGTATGCTGGTTCCCTCCAGACCGAAGGCAACCCGAAGGTCCTCGAGCTCCACACAGTTGATGAGGATGTGTTCTACGGAGGCTGGCACTCCGCAGGTTTCGCAGGTTCTCCGGAACGGTGTTCCTCCGAAATTATGGGAGGCCCTGCTATGCCCGGTGCGCAGCCTGGACACCACTTGCTGCTCCTTGAGGCTCGGTCGATCCTTCCAGGGATCGGTAGTCGCCTTGATTTTTCGTAGTTGGTGAGTTCGATTGTTCCTCCACTCGTTGTCCCACGCTCTCCGAACCGTCCGCTTGATCCATTTCTTGATGTCCTGGAACGGAACATTGTCAGAGAACCTGGGTCCGATGGGGCCTGAGCCGGCGAGGTGGTCGGCGATCACGTTCCCCTGGATGCCACAGTGCCCGGGTACCCACATGTATACGGTGTTGGGCGGCGCATGCGTTACCGTCCCTTGTATCCACGGATGCTTTGGTGCTTCATCGGTTAGGGCCATTATTGCGCTTTGTGAGTCGGTAACGATGAGGATCGGCCGATTGGCCGGAAGGGTGGTTGCGTGAAAGACGGCCGCTGCCTCAGCGGAAAACACCGAGCACTGGGCCGGAAGTGAATTGCTGACGACCAAACTATACCCCCATTCCCACTCCGCTGCTGGAGAGCGAGCCATCAGTGTACCTGATTTCGTGATCTTGATAGTGCGCCCCGAGAGTTTCGACGACTGTCCGGCGCAAAGCCAGTGAGTTGTCTCCTGCCCTGAAGTGGTCCTTGATTCGGCTGTCGATTCTGATCTGATGTGATTGCCAACTTTTGTCTCCGTGCCAGTGGACCCTGGCCACTGGAGGGAGATCTACGTCGGCGACCGTGCGGAGGAGTCGGTTCGCCTCGTCGAGGAGAAAGATCCTGCTGTTTCCCGACGTTTTAGCGAGGAAGGCAGCGGCTTTGGTAGCGGTAGCTGTGGTGTAGACGAGCCGAAAAGGCAGAATACCGGCTTCAACGCAGGGCAGGAGACCGGAGACTGTTCTTACGTATCCGTTGTAGACCGGTTCCAAGATTTGGACGGCTTTCTCGGTGGCAAGGCACGTTAATTCTACGCCGTACAATAGGCGACTGTCGATGATGGCTCGGGCTACTCGGAAGCGGATTTCACGGTTGTTGGATCGGTGGGGGCGGGAGATGGTCTTCATCAGGTTGGATCGACTACGACAGTCCTTCTTCACCTGTTGGAAGTGCGGCTCGAGGGATAGGTTCCGATCGAGGAGCACTCCGAGGACCCTTATTGTGTTTTTGGTCGGTATCGCTTGCTGTTTGATCATGATAGGCTGTCCGTTGTTCCGATGCCGGGTGGTGCATATATGGCAGCGCACGCTCTTGCCGGCGGAAAGCTGGAACCCAACGGAGTCAGCCCATCTGACCACCGAGGAGACTGCCGCTTGCGCCCTTAATTTCGTCCTCTGCAGGGTGGGGCCCACCAATGAGGACATCATCCGCGTAGACGAAAATATATATGTTCTTGGGTAGCTTGTCGAAGACCCCGTTCATGGCCACCAGGAAGAGGGTGACCGCGATCACCGAACCCTGTGGTACTCCGGTTTCTTCGCTGAACCAGGGTCATTCGTAGAGGTTCGCTTGAGTTTACGGAGTGCCTTCCGCCTGGCTTTTACAGCACTTTTCGTGTCTTCATTCCACCATCGGAGTGCCCTCCGCCCGGGAATACTGCCTGTTCTTGGGATGTTGGTGCTGGCTGCTTTGTGGATGACTCCCGTGATACTT